TTTAACTTGCTTCATTCAAAAAATGAAAAAAATATTTTTACTCAAAGCGTGCCATGTATATGGCTATAAGAAACTTACCAGAAGGCTTCTTCTTCACATGAGTCTTTGGCAACTTGAGTGTTGGTGTTGGAGTTCTTGGGGGAGGTGGCTCTGGAATTTCAATTCTCTCTCGAGCGCAACAACAGATGTCAGAATAACATTCCCCACTGTCCTTCTTGCCACCATAAATTGTGTATTGACCGAACTTGCATTTGCAGGAATACCGGTCAATACAAGGTTCACAGTTGAAATAGTTGTACACAAACCTGTTTAGTACGAGTGTGAGTAAAAACATAAAAAAAGTGAAGTTAAAATGAGATGTTTACTGAACTGGCTGAAGAACTGGTTGGATGTCGCCTTCACAGGTTATGTAGAACGGCTGACCCGAGAAGTGAAGGAGAGACTGAATTGCCAATTTCATATGGGGTAGGGGGTTCTCCTTGTTTGGTATTTTTATCCAAGGACGTTTGTTTAGGAACTTAACAAGAGCTTCTCTTTTGGCGTCCTTTATGCCATCGTAGGTTGTCCCGTCTGGTATTTGAATTGGAATTCCAGTCGAAGTCTCGAGCTGAAGTGTAGACCTTCCAGAAATACTGGTGAACTTGACCTTGGGCTTCATTACCTTGCGCAAGTAGTCTTTTACGCAGTCGTTAATTTCAATTAGGTAAATTGCCTCGTCAAATCCTTCTAGCATTCCGAGTCCTTCCATCCGACAGGAAAATATTTTCCCGACAACTGGAAAAAATTTTCCTTCCGACAGAAAAAATTTTTCCTTCCGACAGGAAGAACTCTTCCAGTTGTCCGTCCGTAAACCATTCAAATTTTCGAAAATTGAGAACTTTTTGGTCGAAATTCAGAAAAAGTTTTTCCTTCCGACAGAAAAAGTTTTTCCTTCCGACAGGAAAAGTTCTTCCTTCCGACAGGACACAAACGAATGTCCGACGTTCCTCGAGTATATAAGAATTTCCGAAAAAGTGACACCCAAAAAGTGACACTTTCAATAGGGAGTAACACTTAAAAAGTGACAATTTAAAATTCACAATAAATAAAAATAATAAATTTTTTAGTCTATTAAATTATTCTTTTCTTTGAAATCCTCCAAAAATTCTTCGAAATGTTCTAAAATATAATCTGGAGAATTATAACAAAATTCATTAATTTCTAACATATACGTATCTAACAATTCATTTGGAATTTCAAAACGATCTTAAATATGTAATTGAATTTTGTATCTTCTCATTTATTTGAGAAAGTTTTTTCTTCAGCATTTTCCAATAAAAATCTTAATGGATTCAAATTGGCTTCTTGATTCTGAACAAAATTTAATACTTGGTATAAACGTGATTGAACTTCTCTTTTCAATTTTGTTTTATAATCTGTCAATCGAGGCTCGCGAATTCTAATTGAAGGAATAAAACCTGTTTGAAGTAAATCGTTTTTAATAGATAAAAGTAATTGGGTGCAACTTCTTCTAAAAGATTTTTGACAAAAACATCAATTCTTTGATTTTTAACGCAGCCAAAATCGTGATATTTTATCTTTTTAAATAAAGATTCAGAAACGTTATTCACAACGGTTAATTCATTTGGTCTGGCAGCGGCTATCCACATCATAGCCAACAATTCCTTATACAAAATTCAAAAACTTGGGTGCAATCAGAACTGATTGCACCCAAGTTTTTGAACTTTCTTGAGGGAATTAAAGGGTGAGAGATTTATAGTCTATCTATATATCTCCCACCCTCTAATTCCCTCCCTGACAGCGGGAAATTTTGTCTGAATGTTAAACTATTCAGACAAAGTTTCCCACTGTTTGCGAAGGAATTGTTGGCTATGATGTACTGATTCATGATCAGTACATCATAGCCAACAATTCCTTATATAAAGTTCAAAAACTTGGGTGCAATCAGAACTGATTGCACCCAAGTTTTTGAAACTTTCTTGAGGGAATGGAAGAGTAAGAGGTATACATTATGAATATATACCTCTTACCCTTCCATTCCCTCCCTGACAGCGGAAAACTTTGTCTGAATGTTAAACTATTCAGACAAAGTTTCCCGCTGTCAGCGAAGGAATTGTTGGCTATGATGTACTGATTCATGATCAGTACATCATAGCCAACAATTCCTTATATAAAGTTCAAAAACTTGGGTGCAATCAGAACTGATTGCACCCAAGTTTTTGAACTTTCTTGAGGGAATGGAAGAGTAAGAGGTATACATTATGAATATATACCTCTTACCCTTCCATTCCCTCCCTGACAGCGGAAAACTTTGTCTGAATGTTAAACTATTCAGACAAAGTTTCCCGCTGTCAGCGAAAGAATTGTTCCATCTGGTGCATAGAGTGTGAATCTATGCACCAAATGGAGCAAGTCCCTCGCGAAATTGCCAAAACTTGCGTCGCATTTCAAAGATTGCGACCCAAATTTTGGCGATTTCTAGTAGAGATGGTGTATTTTGAGTCACTGACCTATATGCAGTGGCTCAAAGGGCTCCATCTCTACTTTGAAGCAAGGAAACTTTCCTCGAATTTTGATAATTTGAAGAAAGTTTTCAAGCAATTAACAAAGGATTACTCGCTATGAGGTAAAAATTCTAGATTTTCACCTCATAGCGAGAGCTTCCCTTTCATTGCTTGAAAACTTTCCCCAGCTTCAAAATTTGGGAAAGGGCTGTAAAGTCGACTCCGATACCAGCAGGTACCAGAGTATTTAAAAGAGAAGCCCTCGTACGAGTTTCTATGAAGACCTTCTCATTCAAGAAGATCTTAATAGAAAATCGTACGAGGGCATTGGAAACTCGCGTCTGGTACATGTTGGTACCAGAGTGTTTGAGATTTGAAGACTCTGGTACTAACATGTACCAGAATTTATGATGAATTTAAGATGGACCATTATAAAATGGTAGCGGTTTGTTTCAAAAAAATTTAGATGAGATTTGCATAGATATAGATTATATGATTTATACATATGAAAAATAATATATAAAAATATAATTTTGAGATAATTATGTAAATAATATTTTAAATATTTGAATTTGAGGTATAATTTTATAGTAAAATATATTATAAAGAGTATTTATATAAATATTGTAAAATAATATAAGTAATAAAAATTGAGACCCCCTCCCTGTTTTTGATGTTTTGTCACTTTTTCGGTAATTCTTATTGTTTCGACGTTCCTCTTCCTGAACGCCTTCCAAAGCCAGAAGAACCGAAAGCTGCAGAACCTAAAGCACCAGCCCCTGCACCTCAGTTCCAGCAAGTCCCTCCACCAAATTACTACCAATTTCCACCTCAAGGTTACTACCAATTTCCACTACAAGGCTTCCCGAACTACCCTCCTCCTCAGCCTATGCCTTACTTCCCCAACCCTTGGATGTTCCAGCAAGCTCCACCCCAGCAATTCCAATCTCAATCCCAATCGAAGAGAGACCAAGAGTTCGAAGAAGGTCTGAACCGTTTACGCAAAGAGTACGCTACAGCCCCTATGGAAGACGACAGGCTTTCAGTCTCTTCCCTCAAATCGACCGATTCGACTCGTACCACAGATTCGGTTCGTGACCGTGAAGACTACCTCAAGCAGTCTGAGAGACTCTTCATCCTACAATCATTTACAGTTGGAGCTCTCAAGAACATGCGCAATTACGAAGGTCAGACACCAGCTGGAGACCGCAAAACAGACGTACTCGCAAGAGCAGTCCAACTGGTCAAGACAAAGACGGAGATAGTTGACTTCATTCTTGCAGCTTGCCCATACAAGTAAAAAAATAAACAATTACGAGTTAAACTTTTTACTCTTTCTTTTCTGAGTTGTTTAGAGCTGGTTTCTCTTGTAGAAACCTTTCGTACTCTTCCATGGTCATGTAATTGCGAATTTGGTACGCAATTCCAGGTTCGTTGTTTTTGAACCTTACGTATGTAACGCTTCCATCCTCCTCAGGGAAGTAAGCTGCTAACATCTGACCAAGTTTTCTCGGTGACTCGGAGCTCATAAAAATGTCACTTTTTAAACGTTAAGTTTTTAGTCTTATTTTACCCTTTGTTTACCCTTTGTTTGTCAATGTAGTATTGGAGTGCAATTTCTCCAAATTCTCTGTGTCGGAGTTCTTCAGCATTTTCCAAGGTGTTCCTGGAGAACTCAAAGAAGTTGTCAAGAACATACTGCCATGCTGCTCTTCGGAGTTCGTCGGTATTTTGGAAGTGTTGCACCTTCGAGTCTTCTGACATGAAAAAAATGACACTTTTTCAGCAAAAATAATGTTTATGTTAGAATGTTAGATCTAACATGTTTTCTAACACGTTTTCTAACATGGTCTAAAACTCTTGAATTTTCATGAATTTTCCCGAAATAAAAAATAAAATTAGTTTTATTTTTTATTTTATTTATTTTTTTTATTTTGTATAAAAGACATGATTTCAACAATCGGCACAACAACAATTCAAACAACTACAGCACCAAACTCGCTAGTTATGAATCCAACATCTATGTTAGTAGAGATGAAAAACTTCATTCCTTCTTCATATACTTTCGAAACAAAAATCCAGAAGATAAAGCAAGAACTTTTAACAAGTAATTTAGACTGTAGTGCGAAAGATGAAACAAATGAACAGTATCTTTATGAAATGCAGGACATTATTGACCATTTACCCAAATTGCCTGAAATCCAACAACAAAAACTAACCATTCCCGAATTTGACGAAATAGAAGTCAAAGCAACTGACTCAGTAGAAATAAAGAAGTTCATACGAAAGGTAAATTATGAATTCCTTGGTTTTCATTGCAACCATAAGGTTATGGACAAAGATTGCGACATGGTATATAAGAACATCTCTGACCTTTACAAATCCGAAGAATTTAAGACCTACGACAACTTTGTTTCATTAGTTGCAAAATGTGTATGGCAGATAAGAGATAAAGATAGAAGAGGCAAAGTATGGAACGAACAAATAAGACCCGCTATGTTCGAGATGAAGAAAACCATTGACGCCTTAGTTGTTTTAGCAGGTAAGGTTTCAGAATATAACGCAAAAATGAATCCGCAATGTTCAAAATGTAAAGCAGCAATGAGGAAATATAACTACTCCGTCAAAGAGATAGAACGTATGCGAAACGACTATGCAGATTTAAAGAAAGAAGCAGAAAAACCAGCAGAAGATAAAATGAACATGTTAGAATTTCTGAACAAAAACTATCCAACTGCTGACGATTTCCTTCTATCTGACGTCAAGAAGAAGTATAAAGAAACTTTCGGTATCGTTAAAACATTCGATGTACTGACAGAAGAAATAGAAGCTACGAAATTGTTTAGAGTCATGAACCATCGCAACATATACCATGTAAAACGCTTGTAAATAGTTATGTTAGAAAACGTGTTAGAAAACATGTTAGATCTAACATGCTAACATAAACATTATTTTTACTGAATTCCGTATGAAATTTCATGAGTTTTGTGTGTTTTAGACCATGTTAGAAAACGTGTTAGAAAACATGTTAGATCTAACATTCTAACATAAACATTATTTTTGCTGAAAAATGACCAAATTTCATGAATTTCCTCATAAGATTGCTATCCTCGAAAAACCGAGAGAAGAGATTCCGTATGAAAACAGTGAAGAACAGCGAGTAGGTAAGAAACCCCAGTCGCCAAAACTCATGAAAATCGTGAAAAATAACAGAGTATTTTGACAACTTCAAACAAGCAGAGTAAATGAACCATTTATTTTTATTGACTTTTTACAATTTGAACTTTGTTCGCGTAGATATGAATTCTGAAAGAAGTATGAGGGTCTTGTATGACTTTGTACTTCTCCCATAGTTCATGTCTGTCAAACTTACCTGCCATGGACTCTTTCATAAGTTCCATGAAATCGTCTTCGGACAATCCAGGGAAGAGTATAATGTCAGTAAGTATTCTTTTAACATCCTTACTTAAACTCTTTGCTGTCTGTACACATATTACGACTGAGATGTTAAAGTGTCTGAGCTTCTTAAGAATTCGACACATATCTTGTTCTCTGTTCTTTAACAAAGGATGAGAAGCAAAGTCATCTAAGATAAGAAGACATCTATGAGGGTATGTCTTCCAATCGTAAGATTGCAATTTCTTCGAAATGTATTCTATCTCTTTCTGTTTGTTTCTGAAGTGTTTCTTCTCTAATATTCTCTGCATTTCCTCATTTGGGTCTTTAAACTTCGAATTTATATACTCATTTATAGCATTATACTTCAAAACTCTTCTTTGGTACTTCTTTATCCAATCTAACAACTCAGTATCCTTTATACATACTAACTTAGACTTCTTTATAATATCTTTGAACGAATTGACGGTTTGGTCAAATTGACCAGAAGTACTACAAATAACAACTAACTCATAGAATGGGTTCTTCTCATCTAGTTCTTGTTGTTGTGCAGCCATTTTAAGATAAGTGAAAGTCTTACCCGACCCAGGTGGTGCGATTAGACCTGTTATACCATTCTGAGCAAATAAGAACTTTTCATGTATGGGTTTTATCTGAGCATTTTCTAACTTCCTCTTGTTCTTGTTTAAAACATTCTCAAATTTTTTGTCAATGTCAGCAAACTTTTTTTCTAACATATTTTTAGAAAAATTAAAATTTTTATCTTTTTGAAAATGTCTAGCGATTTCGCTATCTATATTCGAGACAAACTTTTCGACAGCAAAACATCTGTCGACCATAAAATCTTACATAGTGTAAACAAGAAAGGTGAATTTGTTCTAAAGTTCTGTTTCTGGGAATATGACAAGAACCATAAAACATTACAAAGAGCAGTCTTAAAATTTGTCAATGACAGACTTGTTGACAGAGATGACGCCGATTGGAAAGATGAAGTCCAACAAAAGTTCTTAGAATGCAAAGAAGGCACATGCGCTGTTTTGAAGATGAAATAGAAAACAGAATAGAAGAGCTATTAAAGGACAAAGAACTTTTACATAAATATGGTTCTGAGAAATTTGACATAACTCCACCAGAAAAGAAGAAGAAGAGAGAAAAGAAAGAAAAGAAAGAAAAGAAAGTAGAAGAGAAGAAAGAACCTGAACCAGTTCCAGAGAAAAAGAAATTTGACATGTAAAATAAAATTTTATTTTTAGAACATTTCTGGGTCAATGTCAATGTTCTCTTCCTCTTTAGGAGCAAACACTGGCTTAGACTCTAAATCTTTTTACCCAATTTACCTTGAACTTCAACTATCTTAGACTCATAATATTCATAGTCGTCTGCTTTCTTTGGTTCATAAGGTATAACAAGTTTGTATGCTTTGCCTTCTTTAAGGTTTGAAAACCTTCTGTCAAAATTTTCTTTGACTGTTAACAAACCTTCTATGTCTAAGTCTTCAAATTTCGCACCATTTTTAGTCACAATAGCAAAACTTAACTGGTTCGATGTTCCAAACTTTGTCAAATGTAGACTTTTCAAAATGGTAGAAGTAAACATTCAAATAAGCGAATGGGTCTAGTTCTTCTTTAAGTCCTGACATATATTTGTTGACTGAAATATATTTCGTCATCTTTTCTATCGGATAAAAAAATATTTTTTTTAAAATTTACTCAGAAAAATTATTTCTTTCTATATTTGCCATTCCGAACTTCGAAAAGATGTTTTATACTAGCATAGAATTTTTCTCTAGAGCTTGGTCTTATATCGTTTTCATGACAATATTTTCTATATTCTTCATATAAAGCCTTTTTTTCATACATTCATAAGGACAATCTAACCAGAATAGCGCATATCCATTTTCGTTATCTAGGTCTCTATATTTCTTCTGTTTGTGGAATTTCGCTTTCTTCTGTTTGTGGAATTTCGCTTTGTGGCTTAAAAAGATGTGGGCAAGAAGGGTCTGGCGCTATGTAAAAAGTTAATTTTCTGTCATCTTTTCTATCGGATAAAAAAATACTGTTTTTAAAATTTACTCAGAAAAATTTTTCTTTGTATATACACCATTCTGTACGTCTAAAAGACTTTTGACATTTGCCAAGAATGTTCGTTTAGACGCTGTCATATAACCATACTCTTGACAATACTGTTTTATACGAATCGTACAATGACCTTTCATCTAAACACTCAAAGTTAGTCTCATCTATAAACAGTTCATATACACTCTTGTTTGCTTCTAACAATGTTTGTCTCTCTTCGGTATGTGGAATTTGTCTTGGATTGAACTTAGAAATATCTAATGTCATGAAATATGAGAACAAGTGGTTGTAAAAGTCAGATGTCAAAGTTTCTGCTAAGTCGTCAAAATATTCTGTATCTTGCATATGAGCTTCTGACGTTCTGACAACTACATATCTTCTGTCAGAACTTTCTAACTTCATCGGAACGGCGTTGTTTGAAACCATGATGAAATTTGCAACATTTTCGCAAACTCTTTGGTCTCTATACTTTCTTTCAACAACTCCAACTTTGTCTGTTATAAGACTCTTCAAAGCATCTGAGTTTAAAACCTTTGTTGTATCTATACTTTGAAGTTCGTTACATACTATAAGTTTCATATTCTCTATTGAAGAGTTAAATTTACCGCAGATGTTTTCTAAGTTTGTCATATTCGGGTTCGAATAGCCCTCTAACAGTTTGCACAAAATATCTGTAAAGAATGTGTTCTTACCTGTTCCTTGTTTTCCAATTATAATGAGAGCAGTTTCATTCTTAGCACTTGGATGTTGTAAGATGTTTGCAAACCAACATAAGAATACTCATAGACTCTTTCGTTTCCATTGCATATAATTTCTTTGACATGGTCTAACCAAGCTTCTATAATATTTTCTTTCCATTCTACTTGTTCATATTTATATCCAGTGAAGATAGAATAGAAGTTGGAGAAGGTGTATAGAATTTATACCTCGAACTGAAAAAATCTTCTAACTTTGACAATAGATATCCCAAGCATCTAACATCTTCATGCCAACTTGTACAACTTTTATTTCTTAAGTTTCTGTCTACATTCTTGTTCTGAAACTATTGTTGCTTTAGGTTTGTTAAAGACTACATCCCATTCTTTCATGACATAAACATTCTGGGCAGAGTCAACATAAATGACTAAACGTTTCAAATTCTCGACTGCTTTGTTATAGTCTCGAAATGGACACATATTTCTGAACGCTTGGAAGTCATAAAAATCTGAAACATCTATTCTGTACATTTTTATAAAAATAAAAAAATATTTTTTTTTATTCTTGACTTTGTTGTTCCATTTGTTGCATTTGTTGTTCTTGAGCTATTGTTGTTGAAGTTGTTCTTGTAATACAATACTTTCACCAGTTGCATCTTCCAATTCGAAAACTTTCTGCCGTCATTGACAAATACATAGGACATAAAGTTTTACAGGAACAAAGTTTGCGCTCGACTAAGGTTAAGTTTATGGTTTGCTAAAGTTGTTGAGTTTACTAAAGCTGAAAACTCTGCATTCGAATGAACAATAGGCAAACCAGCAGAGAATGTGTTGTTATACGCATGAGTATCTTTTGTCATAGTAGTTTCTGTCGACATTCGAATAGCACTTTGAACCTAAGTTTGAAACAATATATAAATAGGTTACTTAAAGTCAATGGAACAGACATTCCTTGTATGACACCTTTTCCTGTTATAGGAAACTGTTGGTAGTAAAAACCAGATATAAGTTTTGTATTATAGCTCATATCGTTATATACTAAACTCAGTCGGACATCCAAACATAATGAAACCTGCTCTAGTTGCAGCACATGTACATCCGTCTTAAAGTATTAAATAAGTCAACAAAACCTGTTGGTGGTATATCTGAGTAAGTATCTTCAAAGGAGTATTTTTTACCATTCACAACAATAAATCTTCTGGTGTCAAGAGCAAAACAGGCTTTAGTCGTCATCGTGTTTAAGGTCAGTTTACAATATCGTCCTTGAGGACTTTGTAAGTTTGTTGTTATAGAATTATATGACTCAGGGTTTTTAGTCGTAATAGATAAACCATTATGTCTTCTGCCATTTACTTAGCAAATAAATTTTAATGAAATGTTGTGGTCGTCAAATATTTTTATGACGTCTGGGAAACTATACTTTAAGTTCAACGTTTCACTCCTTTCATAACGTATATCTTGTCAATGACATTATATGAAACACACAGCAACTAATGTCGGGTTCTATTTCTTTTGATGTTTATATCGTCTGCCTCTGTCAAAAGTTTCAATAGTTCTTTTCAAGACTTCATGAGGTGCAATGACATATGAGTCACTTTTACAGGGTTGTGTTCGACCAAGTTTAACATCTATACTTAAAGCTTGACAAATCTTCTCCTGAGTTTGAAGTTTGTCTTTCAGTTGTTGGTAGTCGTTTCGAATATCTGCAACAGAACTTAAGTCT